AGATTTGCATGATCTCCATGCAGGGGGCAAAGGGAAAAATGTGGTGACTAGGTCAGTAAACAGGTACCTAAGAGAAAAGCAAATGGAGCAGTGAACATAAGATCTGTCTGCCAGCCTCATCCCAGACTAGGAGTTTAGACATCACAAATAAAGGAGATGTCGGGCAAACACTAATCCAGTTGTTTTCATAAGACAATAACTAGAGACATAAAGACACATCAACCTTGGATTCAAAGCTGAGTGTGATGCAAAGACAGAAAGAGAGTGAGTCACCACTGAGCACTGTGCTGCCTGCCATGAAGTGGAGCTCACAGTGTCCAAGTAAGCAACAAGTAATCATAGGGGAGAACTTGTGAGCTCCTGAAAATCCCTCAGCATCCTGAGGAATCCTTAGATCTATCTGAAGGACACTATTGATGGCCAAGACCTAGTGTAGGGAACCTGTGACAGAAGCCTATAAAATCTGAAGTATTACAATTGCTTTAATTTCATGTGAGCACAGATAGGCACCCCCCCCCAATTTCAGTTACAGTGACATTAATTTATGATTTTAAAAGTAGTTTAAAACCTATCTCTAGAGGATTGGAGAGATGACTCAGTGGTCAAGAACACTTGAAGCTCTTGAAGACAACCCAGGTTCAGTTCCCAGTGCCCACATGGCGACTCACAACTACCTATAACTCCAATTCCAGGGGATCTGATGCTCTCTTCTGGCCTCTGAGGGCATCAGGAATGCACATGGTGCAGAGACATACATGCAGGTACTCACTCATACACATTAAATAAATAAAACTTAAAAAAAAATCTCCAAGCCAGCTGCTGATAAAGGAGCAAGCCACTGCCTTAGGCTCAGTTCTCATGGATACGAGCTGCTCCCACCACCGTGAACCCACTCTAGAAAACAAAGCTAAGCAGAACAACATCAAAACACCATGTTTACATAAGGACCTATTTTGAACCATGTGAGGTGAGTAGTATCATCTTCAGAATTTCTCCTGTAGCATTAAATTTGAGCAGTGTTTGTTCTGAGAGAGTCCAGGACATCTCAGTAAAACTAAACTTTGCCTTTTATTCTTCCACATAGTGCTGGTTGCTCCTGGATAAATCACGACCTCTTTGAGCTTCAGTTACTTGCTTGCTGACAGGAACAATCTCTTCTTCATAAGATGCCAAGAGTCTGAGATGATGAACAGATCTCCAACAGTCATGAGGACTTAACATGGCATGCGTCTTTCCACCACTGCATTTATCTCCTGTCATAGACTAAAAGTAATGAGAAGAGCAGCCATGCCTTATTTGTCTCTGTGTTGACTTGTCTTACATAGAAAGGGTTCTCAATATAGTGGTGAGGAATTTTGTGGGGTGGCAACTTTCCATTTCTAGTACGAGCCTATTTGGGAGGATCCCAACTGTAGATGACTTGGACTCGACACCACTTCTGAGAGTCTAAGCTTTTATTAAGTCAACCAAATGCACAACAGAGGCAGATATAATCAAGTGTGTCAGGAACATAATACATGGCTACCATGGGCAGAAGAACATTAACCAACAAGAGACAGGGGCTGGAATACTGTTCCTGAAAGAAAGCCTTGTAGGCGTTGAAGCCACATGGTATTCTAGTTTCCTCTCTGTTGCCATGAAAAAACACTTGGGCCAAAAGAAACTCAAGGAGGAAAGGCTTTTTTGGCTTACACTTCCAGGTCACAATCCATCATTGAGCAAAGTCAGAGCAGGAACTCAAGCAGAAACTTGAAGCAGAAACCATGGAGGAAGGCTTCTTGCAGGCTTACTTCTTGCTGGCTTGCTCTCTGACTTGCTCAACCAGCTTTCTTAAACAACCCAGGACCACCTGCCTAGGGATGGTGCCTCCCACAGTGAGCTGGGCCCTCGTACATCAAGACAATTGCCCACAGACATGGCCACAGGCCAGTCTGATCTAGGAAATTGCTTAACTGAGGTTCCTTCTTCCCAGGTGACTCTCAGTCGTGCCAAATTGACAATAAACTAGCCAGCATACATGTTCTCCTTAGTAACCTCTCAATGTGGTCGTTTGTAGCACATAGTCAGCTATGCATAGAATGTAAGGGAGTAAGAATGACTGTATTCCAGAAAATTGTATTTAAAGCATGGTGGAAGGCTGCATGGGGCCCTTGGGCCATGGTTTGCCAATGCCCAAGATAAAGACTTGTTCTACTGCCAAGGAGGTTTTATAATAAAGCTGGAAGTAAAGCCAGGTGGTGATACAGAATGGAGAAGTTGCAATCGCTGAGCACACATTAAGCCCTCCACTAAGTTCAAACACTAAAATGAACAACCAGAAAGAAGCATTATTAAAAATATATATTTGACTGGATCAAAACAAATTTTATTCAGGAAGCTCAAAACGTGGGCTGGGGAGATGGGTCAGTGGGTAAAGCACTGGCTGCCCAAGGAGGAGGATCTAAACTTGGATTCCCAGCACTCACATAAAAGCTGGGCATGGTGATACATGTGTGTAACCCCAGCACTTCGGAGGGCACGTGGGGAGTCAAGACATGAGGGTCCTGGTGGTTCACTGGCCAGCCAGTCTAGCTAAAAACAGGTGAGCTCCAGGTTCTATGAGAGAACCTTCCTCAAGAAAAAAAAATGGCAAAGGGCTGGCTGTAGCGGCGGATGCCTTTAATCCCAGCACTTGGGAGGCAAAAGCAGGTGTATCTCTGTGAGTTCCAGGCCAGCTAGTTCTACAGGGGGACCCTGTCTCAAAAAAGGAAAGAAAGAAAGAAAGAAAGAAAGAAAGAAAGAATATAATACTACTAATAAAATAAGGTGGAGAAGCAGTTGAGGAAGATATCCCAATGTCAACCTCTGGCCTCCACATGCACCAGCACAGGCACACACACGTGCATATAGGCATCACACACACACACACACACACACACACACACACACACACACAGAGGAAACTCAAAAGTTAAAATGTTTTGAGTTTCAGTTAAACCTGAAGACTGATTGTTGGATCAATAACACAATGTAGCTCTAAGAAACTCTTATGTGCTATAAGCCCCACTTACGAAAGAACCCATCCAGAATGAGCCGGGTGATTCTCCCAGGGGAGTGGGCATGTTTGGGGGTCCAGTGGACCCCCTGCCCCTATCACAGTGCCTAGCAGGCAGGAAGTGATGCAGGAACATGCTCCCCCTGGCTGCACCGTGTCTAGAATGGTTTGGTATCCCTGTGTTCTCTGACAAGGCCTGTCCTGGGCTCAATGGGAAAGAAGTGACAGCTAAACTCAGAGTTAAAAGGTGGATCTTGGAGAAGATGGGGTGAGGGAGAGCTCCAGGCGGACCAGATGGGAAGCACCACAGTCTATTCCATGATTCTCCACTCAGTCTCCCTTCAAAGTCCCAACTCAAACTCTGGGGGAGAGGCCACCATACTTTCTCAGAACTTTACAATTTTAGTTTTGCTTTCATCCTTACCTGGGAGAGAAGTTAATATGTTGACGGGTTTAAGAAAACATTTTTCTTAATGTTTTCTTAACATTCTCTTTTAAATGAGGAATGTTTTAAATGAGGCTTTGGAGAGAGCTGAATTTAAGGATCCAGCAGGCCTGCGGTGGGAGTTCTCACTGCCACCAATAATTTGCTTGCAAAGGAGCAAAGGAACTAATTATCTTTGGAGAGGCCAGTGTGCCTGATAAAATAATTAAAAATAAATGGCTCTCCTTAGAAATGCAAATTACCACATACCAAAGAAAGCCTGGTGGGCACATAGACAATAAATAGATGTGTTATCTCAAGTCTGTTAGATGGCATTGATTGATTTCCAATTTTGGCTAGAACAGGGCCTGAACAGCTTTTGAAATAAAGGTAAGAGGACTCCCCCACCCTCTACCACCCAACTCAGTGGAAACAACTCCCAAGAAAGCCTTAAACCACAATAGTCCAGCCTTGGAATTTTCTAGGCTGAGATTAGGGCACTCAGGAATGAGATTTCAGCTGCTGCTCCCTTTGAACCCTAGCCCTTATGACATAGGGAGGCAAAGATTGCTGTGGACCCCTCCTCCAGGTTCTGCCCAAACCCTTTCCTATTGCCAGTACTGTCAGGTCAAAGAAAATTAGGCAATGGTCAAGCACTGTGCCTTTTGGTGGGGGCCTCACTGGAACACTGTTACATGGGAGAAAAACACAAAACAAAAACTAAAAACCAACATTTTTTTTCTTCAACAATGACTTAATAAGTCTTAAAGCAGGCATGGTGATGCATGCTTATAATCCCAGCCCTCAGAGAGTGAGATAGGAAGAGGATCGCTGCCAGTAGGTGGACAGCTTGGATTATACAGTGAGTTCAAGTTCAAGACTAGCATGGACTATATCAAAAGACTCTCAACAAATCAAAACACCCAAAATCAAACAAAAACTTCAATAAGACTACAAAATGTTATCCTTTTATCAAAGAAGCAATATTGATTAGATCCCTACGCTTACACTTTTCAGTAGACATTTATAGGTGGGACTGGGAGAGAAAATTGGCTTTCTGCCTGGAAAGAAGTTACATTCTGGCTGGGGAGTCAGATTCTAGGAGACTGAATCCATGTTCCCAGTTCCCCTTGCTTTGCTGACAGGAGGCTCTTCCTGTTCCTCTTATCTAGTGGAAAAAGTTCTCCCTCATGTCTGGGCCCTTGACGCTTCCAAGGGAATCAATGATGAGAGAAGAGTGAGAGAGGACAGCCCACCAGCTGCTGCTCCTCTTCTTCCAAAGGAGACCTGGACCCCAGGAGGTGAGATCTCTGTAGGGGCAATGACGCCATGAAGGATGCAGGGGTAAGAGAGGTAACACACAAAAAAATCACTTAACAGGGCCCCAGACAACATGTGCCTGAGACATGTCGTTTCTGATCCCTGGGTAACTTGGCCAAGCCTCAGACTGGTGACAGATGGAAGTAGGATTTGTTCAGACCCTGGTCAGCCCCATCCAATCCTGCCACACTCCCTCCATCAGCCACAGATGCTCCTCAGGATTCAGTAGCCTTCCTCTTCCTCTCCGGCTTCTGTCCCGACTGTGGTCAAGCCTCTGGTGGTTTCTTTCATATCTACCCACAGAACCTTTTCTTTCTGTGAGTAACTCAGCCGTGACAACTTCCTAACCTTCCAATATAAGCAGAGGAGGGGGATGAGCAGAAGGAGGAGCACAAGGAAGGGGCAGACGACGAGGAAGTGGACTAAAAATGCCGAGGAGCAGATCCGGGAAGAGAATGTGAGCTCTGCAACCAAAGAGAAATACAGAAAATAATCAGTGTTCAATTTATGTGGCCAATCCGTCACATATTCCTCGCCATGTATTGTGACAGGCAGGCACACGGCAAAATAACACAGTCAAGTAGCAGGAGCACTGGGAGGACGGGCCCAGGACACCTTCCCTACACGCGCATCCCTCTCCCCACAAGCCATTCCCAGTAACAGAGCTGCCAATGACCTACTTAAAACTACCAGCCAAAATGAAAAGAAAAACAAAAAAAGAAAACCTCTCCTTTAATCTTCTTCCCTCAGAAAAGATATCTATAATTCAGACCCCGTTCTCAACTGTGTTGCTGGCCCTGAATTTTTAACTGAGCTACTCCCACTGTTGCTTCTGAAACTCGCTGCACTGCACCGTCCTTATCAACAACCCTATGGAGGGCACTCCCTACTCACCCCAACCCCACACCAAGCAGGTTGCCCAGTTCCTAGCTCCTCACCCCGATATTCAACTGTCACTTCCTGCATTGAATTCTCTTGTTTGAGTGGATCCCACTTCTCCCAGACTTCTTGTCCTTGGGCACAGGTCTCATCCCTGTCTTATGCAGTCCTTTGTTTAGGCCTCGTCCTTCCTTACAACGGCTTGAGCATATCTGATAGTGTCCCCCAGTTCCAGGAACTCCCACAGTGCTCAGCAACATGTGCTCCAGAACTTTGGCTGATCTGAATTAAACTGGATGGACTGCAACCACAGGGTTAAAGACACTATCTAAACACATGCCAAAGCAAATGATCTTCCGGCTGTAGTAGTCCACTGGGTAGCACCATCAGTAGACCGACAGGCGAAGCATGCACAGACCCAACGTGGCTCCTGGCCACTCTCCAGGAAGCAAAGCAGAGAGAACTTCAGACACCACGGGTCCCAGGAAATGGTGTCCTGAGCCATTGGTTAAAGTCCTAGGTTCCAGGCACTGAGCAGAAAGTTGTGTTTTTAAAGTGCTATCAACCTCTCACTGTAGCCTTCCAACTATATAACATGGTATTTGAAATCTGGCCTTCTCTGAAAAACCTGATACTAACAGTAGCTGTGTTTTTCTCGGAGAATTGTAATGACATGAGTAATTTCTTGTTCAAAGGTTAAACTCTAGGATTTATGGAATTATAGATCCTCAGTGATAAAACAGGTTTAAGATTTATTTCTTATTTTATGTGTATATGTGTGTGTGTCTGTTTATGTGAGTGTATACCATGTGTGTGGGGTGCCCAAGGAGGCCAGAAGAGGGTGTTCGATCCCCTGAAGCTAGAATTGCAGGGGTTGAGCTACCTGACATGGATGCTGGGAATCTGAACTCAGGTCCTCTGTAGGAACAGCAAGTGCTCTAAATCACTGAATCACCTTTCCAGCCCCCTAAACACAGGCTTAATAGGTCATTTGGACTAACCTCCTGCTGCAAGAATTCCCTTTTTGGTATCACTGTTTCTGCACATGTTGAAGACTGCCTCTTTGTTGGAAATGAAGAGAAAACCTAGGCATTTAGTCCTGTTTGGCACTGTGTGCTCCTTGAGGGTAGGGCCTGTATCATCCAGAAGGCCTCATCAGATTCTGATGAATCAACTGGAGTGCATTCCCCACCAAGGACCAGGGTGGCCAGCGTGGTGTTACAGAGTGATGGTCTTAGGTGAACATTAGGCTGGCAGTTCTGAATGGGGCTGGAACAAAACTGCAGGGGATGGTGGCCTAGATTTCTTTTTTTTTATTCTCATTTGTATTCTTCAAGCTGCATTTGATTTTCCTTCTTGAAAGGTGAGCAATGACAGAGATGGATTTTTGGAAAAAAAAATCTTTTGGAGACAGGGTCTCAACATGTAGCCCAAACTGACCTTAAATTCACAATTCACCTGCCTCAGCCTCCCAAAGTTTGGCATTACCACTCCTGGTTTGGTTCTGAATTCTTTGCTGTCCTTTTTCTGCATTCTACTGGACCCTTCTCCCAAATGGTCCAGCCTGACTATAATTATTCTTCCAGATCTCATCTGTCTATACTCTCACATATGGCCAAAGGAGGCAGATTGCAAAGCTGAGTGTTCGAACAGATCAGACTGTTGCTCAGGCCACACCCACCTACAGGAACCTATTGCTTATGGTCACAGCCACTGTAAGGAAAGGGCAAGCCCCCTACTGAGAGCCTTTCTACAGGCTCCTCAGGGGTTCAGATGCTAGGGGAATGGTGGGCAGCCAGCCAAATGTACTCCCTTCCCCAAGGAGGGCTTATAGACCTCCAGTTGCCAGACTCCTGCGACATCAACAGGGTACCAGCATGGCCACATGCCCTACCCAGATAATGGGTACATCTCAACTAGATGTGCCCTTCTTCTTGTTTTTCCCACATCTTCAGGGCTGTACATCCCTTCCCTGGAATTCTTTCACCTCCCACTGCCACCAGGGCGTCAGAAACAGCCCAGCTGCAAGCTTGTGCTGTGAAAACTTCCCCTTTCCCTGAGACCTGTAAGAAGAGGCTCTTACTCTGTCCTGTGGGCCTGACCTCTCCTCAGAGCCCCCTCCAGGCTACTGTCTGCCAAAACTCTTTTAATAACCTTACTGAAAAGGACAATCTGCCTTAGTGTCCCACTTGGACCCCAGACCCAAGAACTTTCACTAAGAGAAGACAGAGCCACAGAGTATAGATATTAAGACACTGGCCAGAGGCACTCCCACAGAGGACAGTATTTCATTGAGAGGTGAGTTCCAATCTTCACTCTTCAACTTACACTTATGGATAAGTTACTCATCTCTAGTCATTTGTTTCTGCATCAACTAAACAAGGATAATAATAATTCCTAGAGCTGTGATGAGGTAATGCACAATATAACATTTAACACACTACCTAGACCATCTGCTGAGTTGGCAAGCAATAGACATTAGTTAGAATGCTCCTGGGAAAACTGTGAAACTCCCAGGCAGCCTTCTCCCGAGAGACCAGACAGAGAACAAGGCCACAGCCTGCTGATTCCTTAGGGACCTCAGTGCTGTGGTTTGGATCTGGAATATCTTCTAAAGGCCCATGGATTAAAGGCTTGGACTCAGCTTGGTGCCACTGGAAAGTGACAGAACCTTTAAGAGGTGGGGCCTAGTGGGAGGTCATAGGTCATTGGGAGCATTTCCCAAGATGCCAGGAGGTAAGTAGCTTCTCAAACTGCCTTATACTCTTACCACACTGGTCTGTTTTGCCACAGGCCCAAAGCCATGGGCCAACCAACCATGGCCTGAAAACTCCAAAACTATGAGAGAAAATAGGCCTTTCTTAAAGTTGATTATCTCAGGTCTTGTGTCACAGAAACAGAAAGCTGACTAACACACCAGGTTTTTCTATGTTTTTTCACAGGTTAAATCTCACCTTTGGGTCTCTAAGGTCTGTAGTTACCGTGTCTCCAGACCTGTGTGGCATTCACTCAAAAGCTAAATGGTTCCTTAGGAGACTCTGACGTTCTTTGTAGTCAAGGGAGGTAAAGAATTATGGGGTGAGTCTGTGGTGTGAGGGAGCTGCTAGGATGGCAGTGTGGTGATGGTGGCACTGTGCTGGCACACAGGAGGTAGGAAGAAGCCTGGCACTTGGCATTTCTGCCCCCGAGACTCTAGCCTTCGGCATGAATTAACTGCCAGAGGGCTCGACTGTTTTAATGGGGAGGAGGTTGCTCTTCTTAGAGCAATCTGCCATCAAAGGGCCGCACAGTGCACGCTCACACAGTGCTGAATTGGCCAACAGCTAGCAACTGTCAGCTCTAGTGCTTCTAAATTACCTCTCCAGGGAGGGCACTGTTTGCTCTGGATCCCACGATCACCATTTCCCACCATCTGCCTGTATTTGGAGGAGAAGTGGTGGCACTCAAAACCATTATGGTTTGGCATTTTGAATCAATCCAAGTAAGTGCCCAATGCTCAAAGTACAAGGCCTGCAAAACAGAGCCAAAAGCAACAACAATACTTCATCATGAGTGGCAATTTATAATTTGCCTCCTTCTGCCCACAGCCAAACACCACAAGGAGCCCTCCTTCTTGACACTCTCTCAGAAATACCGACTTAGAAGAGGTGTGGATAAGGGCGCTACCAACTTCTCCCCGCCCCCAATTCAAAACTTGGGCCATGTGTGGCCATTTGAGGAGCTGGCCCCTGCCAAGTTCTCTGATAGAACGTGCATCCCAGAATAAGTGACCCTTTACAGCTTCCTGTTTTGACCTAATTGGAGGCTCGCTTGTTCATTCTTTCATCAAGTGTTTGTTGAGTGCAATGTGCCAGATCTCGTTGAAGTCACTAGGGAATGTAAGCAAATGGTCTCTGCAGAAGCCTGAGTGTAATAGGAGTGCATGTCTCCTTTAAGAATCCACTAACTGAATCCTCATGTAAATAAAAGCCAGGAGATAGTAACAAGTATTATACTAACATAAATAATCCAGTCTCTCACAAAGCTTTATGGACTGGCCTATCAATGCATTAAACAATTCTTTAGAATATAACATTTAGGGGCTGTAGCTGTGTTGGTAACATCCTTTCCTGACATGTGCAAAACCTTGGGTCTGATCCCCAGCATCATATAGACTGGGCATGACGAAGCACACCTCACATCCTAACACTGAAGAGGTAAAGACAAGAGGATCAGAAGTTCAAGGTCATCCTTGACTATATGTGTGAGGTCAGCCTGGGCTACAATGAGACCTTGCCTCAAAAACAAAACAAAATGAAACAAAACAGAAGAAAGGAGAAGACATTATTCATATTCAGGGTCTGAAGGTGAGGGGAAAAGACTCAGACCCTGCAGTCCCTGCCCAGCCTTAGTGATGTGTAAGGAGGTGAGACAGAAAAGAAGAGACAAGGTCCATTTTCCCAGGACATGCATCTTAAATTTTCTGCCTCCATTCGAGCCATGTGCTCCAAGGCTGTTTTATATAGTCTAACTCAATCTGGCATGGTCAAATAGAGGGGGTGGAGAAGTGAGGATCAGTAGCAAACTATATTTGATTTGGATTCTGTCAGCATGCAGAATTGACACTCAGCAGGAGTGTAATTGTAAGCTGGTAAATATCTGAGCATCTCTTGGTTGTCGGGACAGACCTACTGCTGGGAACAAGACACCCAGAGTCTATGGTCTATGGTAAGTGTCCAGTAGTGGTGATGTGTGTTGAATAGGTAACTGGAGGCTAATGACTGAGGGAAGCTAAGTCAGAGACTGTTAGGATTAGGTATGTTTCAGAGGAGGATGGTGTGGAGGAGGATGGATGGTGTGGAATACACTGTCTTACCAGTTGTATTCACAGTTGGATGCTGGACTGTCAGTTGTATTGACACTTTCCCCTCTGCAATGTAAAGATGCTCAGGTCCCTACCAACTTCAACCCAAACAAAACAAAGAATTCAAACACAATCACCAATGCCTCTTGCTATTTGTTGTGGTCTTCTCTCTTTCCCTTTTCAGCTCCCTTGCCTCCTGATCCCTTATCTGCCATACTTTCTGTGACAGCACCAAACTTGGGTCTCCCTCTTCTAGTTGCTTCTTCCATTCTGCTTCACAGGCTCTGACTCTCCACCCCTCATACATGGTGGTAGACCTCAGAGGTCTATCCTTGAGCATCTTTACATTGATGCCTCCTAGGGTACAACTCAGGTGCAGTTCACATTTGAAAAACCCACTGTCTCCCAGACAGACCCCTCTTGATAACCTCTAGGTACTCCAAGCTCAATTCCAGCTCAGCTTATTCAAAAAAGGACTAATCTCCTCCTCTAAACCTTTCTCTGGCATTATTAGCCTGCTTGATAAATGGTTTCATGATCTGTCTAAATCCCAATCTAAATTTTCCTGTTTGGCTCATTCACTGCCACATCTATCTGTCTAACTGGTCTCTACTGCTTGTCTTTCCCCTGGACTCTTGAGCACTGCCTGAACTGAGACCTCTACCTGGTCTCATTGTCTACTACAGTTTCACGCGGCTCCTCCCACTCTGTCTGCTTCCTTTCCACCCCAGCTTTAGTGCTGTACCCAGTGAGAACTTTCTAAAATGTGAATTGGAGGGTGTCACTGCTGCCCTTGCATGTGTGCAGCAGCACTCCACAGTTGTCATGATAAAGTGCCCTCCTTCACTTGGTGCATGGGGGCCATCTGGGATCTGCGCATGCAGTGGTCTCATTTCTTGCCCTTAAACCACGTAGACTGCAGTTTCAGCCATTCTCGGCCGCTGAAATTCCCTGACTCCAATCTGAAGTTTTATAACTTTTTGCTCTCTTATGTACCTTTTCTTTTTCCTAAAACAGTTTTCTTCCTTTTCATAGGCCCATAATCTATGGACCCTGCCTAGCTTGCATCCCTATGTGACCCTTCAACTCAGGTCAGTTGTCCTCTCAGCATCCTGCGTAAAAGTCTTTGATGATACCTATCACAGTGAACTTGACTTCCTCCTTCTGGACTCTACACTCTGTGGAAACCAATTCTCTCATACATAGTTTGTGTTCTCAGATTTTATGATTATTTTTGAACAAATTAACCATTCTGTCACATAGATGGACATATACATATGTATATATGTATGTGTGATGGTTAGTGTTGTTAATGTGACAGGATCTAGAATCACAATCACCTAGGAGATGGGTCTCTAGGCATGCCTGTGAGGGATTATTTCTATCATGTTAATTGAGATGGGAAGATCTACTCACTGGGTGTGGCTCCATTCCCAGAGCTGAGATCTTAAATAAAAACGAGATTATTATCTTCTGTATAAAAAGGAAAAAGTAACCTGCACATATCTATTCATTGCTGTTTTCTTTCTAACTGCAGATCAGTGTGACCAGCTGCTTGACGCTCTTATCACCTTGACTTTCCCGCCATGGTGGATTTGTGCCCTTGAACTGTGAGCCAGGATAAATCCTTTCTCTCTTAAGTTGCTTTTGCCAAAGTATTTTATGACAGCAACAGGAAAAGAAACTAAGACTGTATATTTGTGTATATGTGTGTATGTACATGTTTAGTTGGAGACATAAAGGGAAAAGAATATCATTAGAACTGTCTGTACTGGGTTCATTAAACATAATTGCATTATGATCCAATTTTATGAGAAAGCTGAGCTTTAGAGAAATCAACCATGGTCTGATTTCATGGCTGGCAGGTGGTAGAGCTGTAATCCCAGCCTAGGCATATCTGATACAAACCCCTGTGGAATTTTTATCACCCCAGGTTGTCTCCTCAACCACCAGTCAGGAGCAGCAGGCGGAGGAGACCAGTCACTCCATCACAGGATTTCCTGGGAGGTCCTTGAGGTTAGTTGCAAGGAAAATCCTGTGGGTTGCACCCAGACTTGTGAGCTTTTTCCGAGGATACAAAACAGCTCAGTTTTAAATGTCTGCTTTCTGGAGTTCATCTTTTACACCTGTTCCACAAGGGTTTCACTTAGATATGCTATGAAGCATTTCACCTGTCTCAGAGGAGATGCGCTTGGTAGTCACCGAATCTGTCCTTTTTATGGTTATTACCTATTTATTTTACTGTAAAAACTGCTGATTCTATATAGCCTATGAATCCCAGTGGGGAAACATTTGTAGAATATGCCCAGATGTGTGTGACTACCTATAATTGTTGGAATGAAAAGCTGATTAAAAACAATTTCTACCTGGGTACTTGGAAGAAAAAAAAAGTGTTTGTGAAAATTTCACAGAGGAAGAGGATGATAGAGCCCTGGGGAATAAATAAAATAAATCTATAAAAATATTAGATAAAGTCTACTTCCAATTCAGGACCTCACCAAAATGCACCTCTCTCTGCCTCTGTGGAATTGCCATATACACTCTTTCCCTTCAGGGATTATCACTAAAGTTAGCTGATATCCTAGGAATGTCCCCTTTACTGATGGTTCCCATTTATCCTTCCTGGTGTGTGGTACCAAGACCTTACCTCTATTTCTCTAGTGGTTCTTGAAGGAAAATCAACCTGACAAATGACTGAACAAGCTGACCATCCATGCACCCTGCCTCCCCACATGAGGAGGGGGACACATCTATTATTTCAGAACACATAGCCCTAGAAAAAGACCTCTTGTTTCTTATCAGCCTTCTTTTAGATCTGGTTCCTTATTAACCCCCCTATCAGAACGTCCCATCTCTCCTTCCCAGATTCCAGAAAGGAGCCACAACGCCATCCAAGAAGGCACCCCACCTTCTGGGATTCCAGTAAGGCATGACCCCCTTTCTGGGATTTTCTGGGCCCACCTATAAATCCCAGACCTCTCCCAACCCTGATGCACAACCTTCGTTCCTATAGGAAGGTTGCTTGCCCCTTGTAGATAAAAAAGCTATCTGCATCTGTTGAGGTTGGATTCGATTCCTACTTCTTGATTCTCACATCACCGTCTCATCCCTAATTCTAACGTAAGTTTAGTCTTTAGCTCACTTTTTACCTGTTTGGATCTAGCCTATTGTTTATGTCTTTGAATATCACTGGAATGAAGCAGCTAAGATAATGGACTGGTGGATATTGTAACCAGCCAAGATTATTGGTCTAGCTGGAGAAATGTTTGCTCTTATTATTAACACATGCCTAATAGATGCCAATCATATGTCTGGTACTTCACTAGGCTGAGACCTTGGCTGAATAGGATGACCTTTCCACAAAGAGGACTGTTACTCTTTGGTCAAGGACTTCTGAGTGACTAACCTCTTTGCTGGAGCCTGTGAAGCAGCTCTGTGTGGCATCCTTTCCTTGATGTCTTTTAAAGCACAGTGATACAATGCATAGGACACCAAATGACCATTGCTATCATTTGGATCTTAAGTGGTCCCCAAAGATCTATGTAGTAGAGCCTTGCTCCTCACTTTGGTGCTATTAAGAGGTGGTGGAGTCTTTAGGGAGATGGGGTCTAGTGGGAGGTCTTCCTGTCATTAGAGGCATGCCCTCAAAGGGGATGCTAGAATGCTAGTCCCTTCTTTGTCTTTCCAGCCAAAAGGTGAGTGGTTTTACAGGAGCCACATGGCTCCTGCTGTGATGTGCCACTACTGGTTCAGAGTCACAGGGCCAACTGATTATGTACTGTAATCTCTAAGCTTTGAGTCACAATGATTCTGTGTCAGTTGAGTATTTGAAGTATTTGTCCTAGTAGCAGGGCCATCATTATTGAAGTACTGGTAGTTTGGTGAGGACACACACACACAGAGAGAGAGAGAGAGAGAGAGAGAGAGAGAGAGAGAGAGAGAGAGAGAGAGAGAGAGAGAGAGAGAGAGAGAGAGAGAGAGAGAGAGAGAGAGAGAGAGAGAGAGAGAGAGAGAGAGAGAGAGAGAGAGAGAGAGAGAGAGAGACAGAGACAGAGACAGAGAGAGACAGAGAGAGAGAGGCACTTATTCACTGAGAATGTTTTGGGTTAGTTTGGTTTGTTTTTCTTTTTGGACCAGGGAGTATCTAGCTGTAGCTGGCTGGCTCTGGTTCAGTTCAGTCAAAATGTAAAGCCATCATCTTGCTCCCCTCTAGCAAGACGTAGGGATGCCTGCTGCACAAGTTATTTGGGTGTTTATAGATGGGTTTTTTCTAAGGAAGGGAAGGGAAGAATGGGTCAGCTGTGCCCACTATTCCAATGTCTGTGCCAAAACCTTATGTAGACCTTGTTGGGTAAATGAGTTACTCTGGAGAAAGGCAGTAAAGTCGGAACCTGGAAATTGCCATCGACTTGTAGACAGAACAAAACCCAACTGGGAGGAGGGCATAGAGGAGAGCTGGATGTGACATTGACGGTGAATCAGTGCAGATTGACCCTCTAGTTACCTGAAGGCAACACCCAGAGCACCATCCGCTGAGACTCATGTGAGGCCTGGTTGATCCATTTGCCTGGATGGCTGTGTTGCCGCCACTCTGCCACCCTGCACCAGTACATCCCGGCATCCTCCATCTCCACCAGATGCAGCTTCAGGACGAAGTCTGTGGGAGAGGAACGGTAGCACTGCAGGCGCCTCCTGCGCCCCTCGACCCCGTATTCCAGCAGGCCATCGTACTGTAGGTGCACCAGCATTTGGCTTGCAGTGTCTTGTCTGCTCCAGTACCAGGTGACAGAGTACAGCGAGGCTGCGCTCTCTGAGTCATCCAGGCTGCAGTTGAAACCTGCCTCTCCATGCTCTGTGACATTTCCTGACCAGCTCACTTTGGAGACACGAACCTTACTTCCTAGAAGACAAAAATGGCAGACAGAGAAGAGCGCAGACTTTCAGGTGCCTCTGAACCATCTTGTTTCCTTTGGGAGATCCCATTTGGCATTCTTTAGACATTAAATCTCTCATCTTTAATATTTTCTGTTGATCTTTCTCCCTTTTTCACATTTGACAGAACACTTTTTGCTATGACTTGAGCTAGACGCTTCCCTTCATTAGCCTGACCTCTTGCCTGATAAACCCTATTACTAAAATATACACAATTTCAACAGGGTCCTTTGCTCTGGCCTGTCCTTGAACTTCCCCTTTGGTTTCCCACAAATGTTATTCAGAACTTGCAGCACCTCCTCAAGCTGTAGATTTCACCACTACCACACCTTCTTACCAAATCACCTTCTTCCACAACACCCAGATATTCTCTCTTGTTCAGACACAAGAGGAAAGAGCCTATTTGAGAGACAGAACATTTTGATACAAGTGTTAGAATACCACCAGAGGGAACTATTTCAGGTATCAGATTAGAGGATGCTTTAAACAAGCTTTTTATGTTTGCCTCTTCTCCCTCCCCGACGCGCCAACAGGTGAGGTTTTGGAACATATACAGAGTTGTTGGAACAAAGCAAAACAACAGCAATAACAAACACAAGAAATAAATCACAGTGTGCATTACATTTTCGACTCCACTACAAATTCAGTTATTAATCTATTTAAAATATTTTATTTACTATTTTTATTTTATTTGTATGAGTGTATTGCCTGCATGTATGCAAGTGCACCTATGTTGAGCAATGCTTAAGGAGGTCAGAGAGCATCAGATCCCTCTGGACATGGAATTATAGACAGTTGTCAGCCACCATGTGGGTGCTGGGAACCAAACCTGGTCCTCTGCAAGAGCAGCCAGTGCTCTTGACCACTGAGCCATCTCTCTAGCCCCCTTATTAATCTATTTTAAAAAGCAACTTTTTATGATCTTGGCTTGTGTGTTAGCCCAATAAATTATTACTCTGTCCTTCCTGGAGAAGGATGTAAAATAATAATTCATATAAAGTTCTCTTTCCTTGCCTCAAGTTAGTCTCTATTTTATTGCAAACTGGTTTCTAATCTCATCACTATATTTGAGCAAGGCCTAGTTCCAAGCTCAACCTTCAGTTTTGTTGTTGCTGCTGTTTGATTTTTGGTTTTTGTTTTTGTTTTTGTTGTAGTTCTCTCTGTGACTTTTGTTTATTTTCTTCTTGAAATTCTCTCTTCCTTGACTTGAGACAAAATTCCCTGCTACAGTGCTGACTGACCAGCCTGCCTCAGTGTCTTCCTGCACCTCCTTCCTTAACTTACATGATAGCTCAGGTTGTATAGTTGGCAACCCAGTCACATGTAGCTCACAGAGAGGTTTTGCTTGACACTTTCAGTATTTTAAGAAAAATTTAGCTGACTGTGAACATTCTCAAATTGAGAAATGCCACTGTATTATATTAGCTAGTTTTTCATCTCAGTGATGAAATATCTGAGCAAAACAACTTAAGCAAAGAAAGATTTATTCTGTGACTCATGGTTTCAGACCCCATAATCTAATAACTCTAATGGTCTACATGTCTATAAAACTGGTTGTATATGGATGGATGACAAGGTCCATCACCAGTTTGACCTGTGGCCGGGAGCCCTTGGACCTCTTAGCGTCTGTGCAGCTGAGTGTAGTGAAATGAATCCTAGGGAATCAACTTCCTAGGGAGCCCAGTATGAGGAGGGCACCCCAGTCATGGTGCTCTCATCTCAAGGAAATGTCATTAGAAAACAAAACAAAAGCATATACCTCAGGGTAGTCTAGAAGTTGCTTTGCAACCCAAGGTATCCTGATGTTGTCATCCTTCTGCCTCAGCTTTCCTAGTTGTGTGCCATCACACTGGCTTTCAAAGGAAAAGATTTTAAATGAATTTACCCCTTCGCATCCTTGAGTCTTCAATGGGTGGGTCTGGTCAATTTCTGAGAAGCCGTCAAGGCACCTTCCTTTCCTTTTCTCCTGGTGCAAAGTGTGTGAGTTCTATTTCAAGGCACTAATGACTAATAGTCATACTTGGCTCCAACTTTTCATTAGCTTCTTCCTTGGGCAGATGTCAAAGCTTTTCTATCTTTCTGCTGATTTCTGCTCCTAATTCTCACTGTAAATCTTTCTAAATGCAGCTAGCAGTAACCATTCCATAGCTTGAATGCTAATTCTCTCCTTTTTTTTTTTTTTTTTTAATCTTTTTTGACACGGGGTCTTTCTATAGTTCCAGCTGGCCTGGAACTCACTATGTAGACTAAGCTGGTCTCAATCTCACAGAGATCCTCCTGCCACTGCTGCCAGAGTGCTGTTATTAAAGGTGTCCGCAACCATGTCTGGTTCTCCATTCCCTTTAAGTTCAACCTCACTCAAGTCTTAGGGCATGAACAAAATATTTGCCGGAATGCAGTATGAATGGCCGTTAGTCCAAGTTCCAGTACAGCCCTCTTCTCCATCAGAAATTTATGAGCTGACTTTCCATGCACATTCCTATCAGCAGTCTGGTCTTCTGAGCTTCCACCAGGATTACCCACTAAGTTCTGCTTACAGAAGTCTAGAGCTTTTCTAGCTTGCCTCTCCAAACTCTTCCAAATTCCTCCCACAAACCAGTTCCAAAAGTTTAAGAACACTGACTGCCCCCCACCTTTCCAGAACCAATTTTCTATATTAGCTCTGCTGTTATTGCTGCTGTTGCTGTAACAATTACCTGAGAGAAAGAGTCTAAAAGAGGGAAATTTTATTTTGGTTCATAGTTTCTGAGGTTTCAGTCCAAGGTCAGCTGAATCCGTTGCTCTGGGTCTGAGATAAGATAGACTGTTATAGTCCTGGAGCATGTGACAAAAGCTGCTCTCAAGATGGACAGGAAGTAGGGAGGGAGCATGCCTTCAGTCACTGACGTCTTTGTCCCTCCCCTTTTCTTCCACCTGGGTCCTTAGCCTATTTGATGATGCCTTAGACATTCAGGCAGCTCTTCTCCCCTTAGTTAATTCTCTTTGGAAATGCTTTCACAAACCCAGAAGTGTACTTTACAGTGCTTCCTAATCCAATCAAGTTAACAATCAGGACTGTGAGCATTTCTTGATATATTAAAAGATCTGATAACACTGAGTCTATGTTTCTATATTTCTAGCTGAGAAGCACTGGCTTGAGCAAAGAGGTGTTGCCTCTTTAAAAGGTGCAGCACACACTGGCCAGGGTTTGGCTAAGATGCCTGGAGGCAGGGTTGTCAGTCATATGGGTGTGGTGTGCAGGAAGACAAGTAGTCTTGTGGGTCAGGGAAGGTAATGGATATAACTTAAGGCTGAAGTGTCTGGGGCATCCAAGTAGAAATGTGCAGAGGGGTCTCCAACCTGAAGCCTCAGGAGAGCTGGCACAAAGACTTAAGGTATTTATCTTGAAGTTGATAACTAAAGCCAGGGGAGTGTTTTAGAAGTTCTGAGGAAAGTGGAGACCAAGAAGCAAAAGTGCCCAGGATCTATCCCTGAGTAGCACTCGTGTTTAGCAAAGAAAGGATGAGGAGGACTCAGGGCAGCAGGAAGAGATCTCTTACTAAGCTATGGCTTTGCTCCTGCTTCTGAGCTCTCCAAGGGTAAGAGCTGTGTGTTCCTCATCTTTGCAGGCCCATTGCTAGCATATGGCAATATCCAATCACAATCTTAGTTTTATTGATGTTACCTTGAAAATAGTATTTTAAGCACTACATTAGATCAATTTATTTGCATTATGCTCTTGGATCTTGTCCAATTCCAAAACCTTAGCTGTGACACTCACTTAATTTTAATCAACCGTTACAGGTGACCTAGCCAATGCTGAGAGACCTAATCAAGCCTGTCCACATTTAGACAACAGCATTCCTAGACCAGCTCAAATAAGTGGAAGTTCCATTACATTTCTAAAGGTCTCCCGAGGTGGAGGAGATTCCCTCAGTAAGCCATTCCAACACTTAACTACTCTTATTTGCCTTATGTTTAGGTAGCCAAATGTTGAAAAGCAATTTCTCCACATATCCCCACAGAGTTGTACGGTTTCTGTTCACAGTGGGAGAAATATGCTTCGTATTACTCTTTCTCTGCCAAATTACAGTAGAGCCCCACTGGAGTGACACAGCTTGTTATTATAGAGATCTGGAGATATGATACCCTGGGTAGCTATACAAGATCAGGCTGCTGGGCTGATAAGCAAACCAATCAAAGGGATCTTGTTCCCATCTGAGCTTGAAACCTCAGATTGATTCACCTTAAACAACCTCCCTTCTTTTAGTGAGCGGCCACATTCTGCGATTACCTGTAAGTGAATATTATGGTAAAAATACAAACCATATTTTTATTTCTCATTATCCACACCTTAGAAGCCGCCTAAGAAGCTGCCTAAGGTGACCATCCTATAGAAAGACACATGACAATACTCTTATAAGGTTTACCTGTGGGTTTGAGTTTCAATTTTGTTAGTCCTGAATTCTTTCTTCCAAACATTTGCCAAGTGCCATTTGTAGACAAGAGCCATTCCTTCACTGTACAGTAGTACTGGCCCTGATCACTGTCTTCCATACTCAAAATGTGCAGCAGAAACAAGTCTTGGGAGACTTTCTCAGGATGAAATTTTTGTTTGCTCCGTGGGGTTTGATATTTCTCCCCATATTGTATAACACTGGTTTGGTCCATTTCCAGGATCTTCAGATAGGATGCATTTGTGGAAATGGGAGAAAAGTACCAAGTGATGGATAGTGGGAAGCTTCCAGTGGACCGGGACAAGATGCTGCATTCTACATGAGTGTTGGAGCTGACGGAGAGCTCTTGGACTTGGTTGTCTGTGTTCACGCTCAGTTTGTTCTCTGAATGAAAAGAATGAAGATAGTCACTTGGTTAGAAAAATAAAATTTTAAGGTAGCAGGGATATTATAGGTCACCGAGGGCTCCTATAGTCATCATGTATGCAAATTCCTTGTCCAGCAGCTTCCCTAACTGTTTATTTTGTTTTTGAATGATTCATGATCTGATGAAGCTGTTGTCCATTCCATCTTTGGACAGCTCTGACACACAGGTATGTCCAAACCACAGGCCACATATGACTGAGGACAGCTATGAATGGGACCTAACACTAAACTACAGTTTACAAACTTATGTAAAATATTACAAGATTTTGTTTTGTTTTGTCTTTGGTAACTCAATTATACATTTCTCAAACACGAACTTTGTAGAGGACAACGTTGTGTTAGAATGTCAAAAGACTGGACACACTTGTGAGAATTCTGTCTGACGGCAAGTTGGATTTTCTCTCTTACAACTTCCATCTACTGAGCCTTCATCTACCCTTGCTGTGTGGGGAGGGAGAAAAGCCTACCTCTCCCACATGATAATGCTGTATTGTTTAGACATAGGAATCTCTTCCATAGCATTTTGTGCATCAATTTGAGAGAAAGTAACACTTATTGCTCTGCCTTTCACAGGATTTCTGGATTTCTAACTTTTCAAAGTCTAGTTAGAGCTGCCTTCAAACATGAGTAAACACAGGAAATTGTGCATGGACTATTACATCTTTGTCTCTTTACAGTTTCTCTCCTGTGAGAACATCATATGGATATGGAGTCTACTATCTCTTAACCCCAGTGGCTTTCTACTTTTTCAGAGATGCACAATAAATCTTCTTACAAATCTTATTCTCATTTCTTGCTGACCATTCACTCCGCTCTTATTAACATTGCCAGTAGGTCCCTTTACTCTTCCTTCAACAAGCATTTATTAGCCACATACTGTATCCTATCCCAGACTATTCCAGGTACTTTCAGTACCTCCTCTCAGTGGATCACAGTTTAGAAGGAGAGACAGGACAGGGACATAGACTTATAGACTATAGCATTGGTCACCCATGCCGAACAGAGTTATGCAGAAATATACAAGGTATCAAGATCACCCAGCAAGGTCATCTAACCCAAGCACAGGAGGGAGGAGAGACTTCTTGGAGGAAGCAACTCTGAGCTAAGTCTTGAGAGTTTAGAGCAATTATTTCCATGAAGAGAGAGCTAAAGAATTTCATACAAAAGAAGCATCTTGCATAATGACCTTGAAAGTGAGTGTGAATGGGGATTATTTAAGAATTACAAATAGTTCAGTGTGGTTGAAAGTCAGATCCAAGACGGAAAGTAGGAGATGGACTGGGAAGACAAGCACATCAGGCTGTAGCTCTTTCACATCTTGGCATGGGAGCTTAGACATAAGGTAGGCACAGGAGTTCCCAACCTGTGGCACTGGTGTGTAGTGAGGACACAAGGAGCAATGTGAAGGGTTAGTTTGGGGAAAAAATGATTTGGGGCCTGACACTGAGTGTAGGTATATCTCAGAAGCAGTTAGATAGGAATCTGGAGATCAGAAGAAGAGAAGCCGTTCTGCATCATGGACTTGGAAGTTGTCAATATATGGTTTGAATAGAGATGTGCCAACTCAGGGGAGTGAGGAGATTGAGACAAGGACATGCCAAGCTTGAATCCAGAGGAGCAGTTGTCTTTAAAGAAGGAATCTGCTCATTTGGTAGATATTTGTCTATCAGGCAGGAAGATCAGAAGCTCAAGGCCATCTACATAACAGATTTGAGGCCATCCTGGGCTACACAAGACCCTGTAAATGTGAAAGAAAGAAAAAAAAAGAAAGAAAAAAAGAAAGAAAGAAGGAAGGAAGAAAGAAAGAAAGAAAGAAAGAGAAAAGAAAGAAGAGAAAGGAAAGCCAAATGCAGTGACACACACTTGTAATCCCATCACTTAGTAGGCTAAAGCAGGAGGATTGAGAGTTTCAAGCAGGCCTGTGCTTAAAAAAAAAAAAGGAATAAAATAATGATTGATGAAGGAAGAAAATTCTATACAAGAGACTAAGATGGAATCACCAGTGTTAGAAAGAAAACAAAGAAAATCTCATGCCATAAGGGCCAAGAGGGGGAAAAAAGAAATTTGAAGAAGAAAGTTTTGTATCAGCAATTTCAAAAGTCACAGAAAGGACAAGAAAATTAAGGCATGAATTAATGAACAAGCTCATTACTATTAACAAAAATACTGCTCAGCATCACAGAGAGGGTGGAGGTACCATGTCCGGGCATCTGCTTTAGGTATCAGTCACTGCGCTAGGCACAGTATAGAAGAACCCCAGTTCAGGTACACAGCATCAGTTTACAGGTACAGTAACTAAAGTGGGGATAGAATAAGTGAGTTGTCCAAACGCAGGGCTTACCATAACTGAGCGATTTCAAAGTCTGTCACTGGATGAATGCAAGTCAGGAGAGAGAAAATACATGATGTGGTAGAACTTTGGCTAGGCTGGGTTTTACTGTTAGCTCTTATGTTCGATTACCAGTTGAAGAGGTTGATTATACATGACTGGAACCATAAATTCTCTCTTATACATTAACATGCTAAAATAAGTAGATAAGTGTATTCTAATGGGATTTATATTATCCCTACCACTAGGGGAGACATTCCAAACACTTAATAGCTGCTGGGGCACGGGCAGTGACTGACCTAAAAGATTGTGTCTCCTCTAGAGTAAAGCCCTTGAGGCCCCCCCCCCCCCTGCCAGGCAGTATCCTTCAGTTGCTGGGCAAGAGCAATACAAACTCATGGGCAGATGTGGAAGGGGCACTGAACAGTGGCTATTAGCTGGTATGGAGGTGTTTCAATGTTTTAACAACTAATGAGCTCATCACATGTACACTAACTTAATGTCATTGCCTACTGCTTACTTTAACACTACAAATAAGGTAAGTGGTATTTTATGTTTATTCTATAACTTACATAAGGCAAGAGGAGTTTTTGCTGTTGTTGTTTGAGATAGAGGCTCATTATGTAGCCCAGGCTGGCCTCAAACTCACAATCCTCCTGTCTCAGCCTCTTGGGCACTAGGATTACAGGTGTGTATCATCACACTCAACAAGAGATTTCTTTTCTTGCTGTCTCTTTTCTTTTTTAAAAAATATTTTATTTATTGGGGCTGGAGAGATGGCTTAGCGGTTAAGAACACTGGTTGTTCTTGCAGAAGACCTGGGTTCAAATCCCAGCACCCACATGGTAGCTAACAACTGTCTGTAACTCCAGTCCCAGGGGATCTGACAGCCTCTTCTGACCTCTGCGGGCATTGCATGACATGGGGGCACTTACCTACACACAGGCAATACACGCATACACATAAAATAAAAAATAAATTTAAAAAAATATTTTATTTATTAGTTTTATTTTATGTGTATAAGTACATTGCCTGCATGTATGTAAGTGCACCCATGTCATGCAAAGCCTGCAGAGGCCAGAAGAGGGTGTTGGGTCCCTTGGAACTAGAGTTATAGATGGTCGTTAGCTGCCATGTGGTTGGTGGGAATCGAACCCAGGTCCTCTGCAAGAGCAGTCAGTGTTCTTAACTGCTGAACCATCTCTCCAGCCTTTTTATTTTAAAGCAGGGGTTAATTACCTGGTAAGGTGACAGCTATTCTCAATGGGTTAGAGGTGGCAGATACCCTGGCCAGGCCACTTGTACAGAGGGATTGTCTGTCATAAACATCCACTTTACACTGGTATACTCCCGCCTCTTCTGCAGTGGCATCGTGGATCAGGAGTTGAGAATGAAATGGAGACTTTGACACCTTCGTCCTCCCGTGGAACTGGGAGAGGAAGTCTCCCCATTCGATAGTGCCGTTATGGCTGATTCGGATTAGCTGATGGAAGACTCCAGAGCCAGCTGGTTGGAACTGCCATGTCACAGAGAATGGCAGCCTGAGCTCAGAATAGTTGACCCCCACAACTCTGCAGGACAAGTAGAAGGTGCGTGTTAACTTCACCTGTGGCTGACGGCTCATCAGATTAACTTGCAAAATTGACTCTGCAGAGGGAAAAGTGAAACACACTTCTAATATGTTTATCAAGACCAAGCGCAGCACTTTCAAGGTTTCTCAATGCCACCCTTCACACGGGGCCACAAATTTGTGCCTCTGGAGCACCATGACTCTGGGGGTAGAGGCTGGTTCACAGTATAATCTGTCCTGAATTCCAACCTCTGTTCTCCAAGTTTACTCCCTTGCCTACAACTGTTCTCAGCAGTGACAACAAACAGGCAGTGTTTCCACAGTCTGCTGTGTGGACAGCTGTGCTGAGCAACTGGAACACTCCGGCCTGGGCTGGCCTCCTTCCTCCCACTCCTCCACCCCCACTCTCGGGTTCAGTGTCACTCTCTTGCCCATGCTAGAAAAGACTGTGATGACAGGGCTGGAGCTGTCAACAGCTGGAATGGGGACAGCTCAGCTATACTCATCCGTAAGTCAATTCCGATTCATAGGGTTTTCTTTTTTAACTTTGAATGACAACTTAAAAGTTACACTCTAGAGAAATGTTTATAAAGATGGATAAACTCTAGAGGTCATTGATGAGCCTGCTAGCCAAATCCCGCTCTGTGTCTTGGGATACATACAGCACTGCTGAGGTTCCAGATGATACATATTCACTGCAGGGTGGAGTAAGGTGGCTAAGGCAAGAATTCAGAAAAAGATTTCTCCAGCACTTACTCAGAGATTTCACAGTGACTGAAATCTTCTGGGTCCCATGCAGATCCCTAACCTGGTCCTGGGGTCTCTCAGACACTCTGCATTCATAGGCTCCGCTGTCTGTGACCATTGCAGAGGTGATCTCTAGCCGAAAGGTGGCCCAGTCCACTTTCTCTAGCCTCGTGTTGCTTCGGTACCTGGGGCCCGTAGAGGAGGCACCTAGCTGTACAGTGCCGTCCTGTCCCATGCTAGCCACAAGCATCTCTCTGGTCTGGTCCTGTGGGATGTGCCACCAGCTCATTGACAGAGAACTTGCAGCTCCACCTGCCTTGCAGAAAAAGGTGATCACTTCTCCTTCCCACACAGCCTGCTGCTCGGTAGATATGGTCACGCTTCTTGCTGCGGATTACAGATTATAGAGAAAAGTGCTTCAAGTAAAGGAAAACATTTCTAAAATACAGTGAAATTGCATTAATTAGAACTTGACTAGTTTATGACACATTAGAGCTGGCTGTTTCCCCCTATACCACTCCCAGAAAAAAGATCCATTAAACAATAAATAGTGGATGGATGAATAGATGGATAGATGGATAATTGTGCATGTGTATATGTGTATATGATATAAGTATATATAAATAGAAAGCTCCCTTAAGGTAATTATTACATGGTATAAACAGACAGGTGACCAGAAGAGCCTATTGACATGTACGCAATTCATAATTTGCACTTTTTTTCTTATTGCTTTGTTCAATCAGCACATACTGAAGAATATTGGGCAAATATCTGGTAGTATTTCATTAGATTCATTAGAGTGCATGACATGAATGAAACAAAGTAAAGAGGCCCTGCTAATGAAGATTTTTAGGGTGTTTTTGCTTTGTTTTAGAATACAGGCTTTCAGAGTTTTCAACATGCTCTTCCTCGCCCTGCTTTTCTTTTCCTAACAGTCATAATTATCTTGGTATATGTTTTGAACAGGGAAAGAACATTATGAATTAGATTTCTGTTCATAATACCACCATAAAAATAAGTACCTTGGGAAATTTTTTATATATACATATACCATATACACATACATATAGATACACATGCACACCTATCTATCTTCTATTATTGGTAATTGAGAGCCTTCTTATGTTCAAATTACTGTGCAAAACTATAAACGTAAGGTTGACTCCCAGATGGGAAATTCAAGAGACAGAGAAATGCAGGCATTCATTTAACAAATGCTTATTGTGCAAGGCCCTGTCCTGGCTGCTCTGTGGGCAATGCAGATGTATCAGGAGCTCCAGTATCCTAGGCAGCCCAGCACGAAGTGCAATGCCAACCCCCTGGAGGCAGAATTACTCTGGGCAGCACACTTGGCCTCTCTGAGCTTTCGTTTTCTTTCCGTAAAAATGAGGGTAATAACAGCAGCCACATTATTGCATTGTTGAGAGGACTGAACAAAGGACACACACAAAGGGCTTAGGCCGTGGGCTACAGAAAGTATCGAGGAAAGGTTAGCTATTAGCATTGGTGTTTAGTAAGTGGAACTGGCAATAACAGAGAAAAAGCGAAGTAGAATTGGCATTAGAAATCTAAAGAGGATCTAAATGAATTTGCAAATTGCTCTTCCCTGCTGAGGAAGCTGTTCACCCTTCCACTGCCTGTGCACACAGACACGTGTGGTACGAAGACAGAATGAAGGTTAATGCTCATGCATAGGTAAACAAATGATCAAGCCTGCTTCTAAACTTTGGATGTCAGAGGCGTGATCATGCTATCAGGTTGTTTTTCTCCATATACATAAAAATGTCTCACAAGTGAAGTTTAGAAATTAGAGGAGAAATGGCTACTCCTAATCTCACTTTAACATAACCATCGTGATGAGTTTCAACTAACAAAACTTCAGTATTCCTTGTGGTCATTACTGCCTCATAGTGAGAAGCTAGAGCCAGCATACCAAGTATATGTGGGCTGCAGTGACAAGAAGTGTGCCTTTCTCTTTAAAATATCATGGAACAATAAAATACACTCATACTTCAAATAATGATTTGGCTTTTGAAAGGAAATGTCAGACAAGATCCTTAATAAATATGCTAATACATTTTTACACTGCTACATATTTGGCCCAGTTTGGACTCCAGCCTATGCACCGTTGGAGTTCTTGGGCACGGATTTCCACCCACTGGGTTTAAGGAAGTTTGAGAATATGCTCCTAGGAAGTTCAGATGCACAAAGCAGAGATTTAGCTAGCTCTGTGCAAATATGTAAACTGCCCACATTGTTTTTCCTGAATCCTAGAAAGTTAGACCAAATGTTTAGCGTGAAAACTAACACCAGCACCCTTCCTGGCCTGAGCTTGTGCATATTCCTTCCTAGCCAATGGGGAGAGGGATACAGAACATGAAAGGGACATGTATCTATCTTTGGAGATGCTTCTAATGAGCGAGTGCAGCAAGAATATCTTTAATTTTAGCGAGGTTTATTTTTAATTAAAAATTTTTCCTCTATTTTTTGCTTTCGGGCAATTATTCTTTCTAGACTTTGACTTTAACACTCAGCCCAGAAGATTCTAATATTAGTTGTGAATTCATCTGTTTTCACTCTCCATAAAAGACACTGATTATTCAAACATATTTAAAGCTACCCACCCTTCAGAAAGTAAAGGTGAAATCATTGCCTGTCTTAAGTCTGTTTTGTGTTGCAATAACAAAATATCTGAGGCTGGGTGATAGATAGAGGTTCATGGGGCTCACAATCCTGGCAGCTGGAGGATCCAGATAACATGGTAGAGAGGACCCTCTGGTTGCAGAGGAATGTGGTGGAGGAGAAGAAAAGGAAACAGGAGGGACAAGCACTTGGAGTGGTCTTCCAAGATGGCATTAAAGCATCCCAATCCACAGCAGTGGCTCTCACTGTTTCACATAGAGACTCTCAGAAGCCATTGAGCAGGCAACTCAGCTCATCGCAGCAAGCACAGGGAAGGGAATGGAGTCTGTCTGCCCTCATTTGTCTCTTCATTTCTCACCGTGAGTCAGAGTTATGATCAAGTGTCATCCCCTGACACAGGCTAACATAATGGGGTTAACAGAAGGCAGCTGAAAGATGGCTGCCCAGCCTCAAGTTGGCTGACTTGCCTGTGCAGTCCCCAGGAAGAGGGACTAAGTATAGCTCTCCTCCCATCTCTCACACACATATGTGCACACACACATGCACACTCAAGCAACATATTCATGCACACACACAAGTCAGAAGACTTCATTAAGACAGATACTCTCCATTAACAGGAAACCCAACTTATAAAAATTATAACAACAACAACAAAAAACCCACTCAAACAATGTAAAATAGCAAGAAGGGATAAGGACCATCTACTCCCTCCATTTTATAGATGACAGAACTCAGATTGAGTGGAATGAAGAGATGTGCCCAGGGTCATGGGCCACTTGGTGGCTCAGGAATTAGACTCCAAAGGCCTTGGCTAGTCTGGGTACTTTCCTATTCTGCACTTTATCTGCAGAGGGGTCTGACTGGTACCAGACCCTAAAGGAAGACCCCCCCCCCCGCACTGGGCCCATGAGGGTCCTTTGTACTTCCAGAGGAGGGGGTCAGGGGACAGTCGCATGTGTGGCTGTCCCGATGTCACATACCTGCTGGCTCCCTCAGCTGCACCTGGCTGACTGGTGACTGCTTTTTCTGAAGCACCTGCCAGGAGCCAGTCCGAGTTCTTATCACCTCTGCCACTGTACAACTGTAGGCGCCTACGTCCTTTGGGCCCATGGAGAAGATTTTGAGAGAGAAAGCCTGGGGGTTTAACTTGGAAAGCTGCAACTGTCCTTGGCTCATTCTGTCTCCGTAGTCTCTCTTCAGGTCCAGGACCCCACCAGCATCAATCTGGGCAATTTCCATTCCATTGAGGAACCAAATGCTCTCAAGCTGTGGGTTGCCACTTCTGCCGACAACCATGCAAACCAGTTCCAAGGGTTTCCCTTCAGTGGACGGGCTCTTGGCTGTGACGTTCACTTCAAAATCTCTCACTGGGCAACAAAAGCAAGGCAAGCACTTAGAAAGTCCACTGAACTTGTCCTTCTAGCGCAAGAGAGATGAGACCCCAGTAATGACACCACAGGCTGCATTTTATGTAGCTGTTCAGTTCTGTGGTGGCAGTGAAGTTCTCTACTCCCGAACATCCCCACAGTAAAAAAAAAAAATGTCCATGACTATTCTAAGTCACCCAGAGAGGTTAGCATCTGTGGTTTCCTGAAAGCAATTCCAATAAGCAAAAAGCACACCCAGATGTGTCAATATGCGTTCTTAATTAAAAGTGAAATATTTTATGCTATGTTGAATTGCTGTAAATTATGGCTTCTGCTTTTCTCTGCTGGTTTGGTGCTAGGGACTGAACCCAAGGCCTCATCATGTACTTCTGCCTCCAAGCCACAACCCTAGTTCTTATTTCTAACTTTGTTCTTTTGTCTGAGGACATTCGGTAGACTTTTCCTATGTTGTAGCACTCATGTGTTATGGCCTGGTAGGACTTATTGAGTGTATCTTGGATACCTAAGGGCCATCAGGTGATTTTTTATGAGGAAGAGTAACATAAAACACCAGTGATCCACCACTGGACTGTTGCTTTCCACAGTGGACATTCACGGTTTTAACAGACCCTCCTGTTGGACCAAAGTCTATGTAAAATGACCAGAAATGGCCATTAAGGCTTTTCTCATTACTGTTGATGAAAAGGTCAATGGCATGTGCAGGGTAATGCCATTGCAAGCTAGAAATGGGGGCCAGTAGAAGGAATCTAGACACCAACAGGGACAAGGAATTGGAAGTTGGAGTACTTTGAGGCCCAGCTGCCTGTGGTAGATGGGCTTTTGGGAGGAGTAGACCTGACTTTGGAAGCCAGCTCCTCTTCTCCCCAGCTGGCTGGGCATTGGGAAGTAGAGTGTCTGTAGTGCAGATTCTTGTTTTTAAATGGGGAGTTGAATACCTCATAAGGTGGTTGTTTGGATTAAAATTAAATAATGTAGATAATGTGCTTACAAAGTGCCTGGAAAAGATGGTCACAAAAATATTTCCATGGCTGGCTTGTGGCATTAAAGTAACCATTTAGCATTTCTAGTCCTACATAAAATCTCCCGCAAACAGCCACAATGGAACTTTCTGGTACATCTTCTTAGTTATACTTCCCAGACGACAAAAACAAAATTAACTCGAACCTTTTTTAAAAGTCAACAAAAGACTTAAAAAAAAAAAGAAAAAAAGATATCCCAGAAATACCCACTGCCAGTGAATTCAAGAAGAGAATTACCTGCTGGCTGGACCCTCAGAACTGTTTGATCTGTCTGCTTTCTCGTGATTAAAGTCCAAGTTTCATCTGGATCCTGAATCCATTCAGTGGCCTCACAGAACAGCTGGCCTTCATCTGAGGGCTGGAGCCTGTCTATGGACAGTTTGAAGGAAGCCACTCCGAGCTTGTTGAGCCGCACATCACCAGTCGAGAATCTATCCACATAGGAGGGCCCTGGGGTCAGCATAAAATCTTTGGAGAGAGAAATGATCTTGGTGGCTTGGCTCCTTCCTTTCTGTAGCAGGTACCAGGTGAGAGACAGGTGGGTATGTTGAGCTGTGGCTTTGGATGCCTCGCAGGTGAGTTCTAATGACTCACCTTCCTCCTTACTGAATGTCTGGTTACGCATGGTGGCAGACAGGGTGTCAGGAATCACTGGAAACAAAGTAACGATGAAAATCTGACTGGCCCATGCTTGTCTCATTAGCCTTCTTAGAAGAAGGCGTCTGAATCCCCATCTGCAAAGCGCATCTTTGAGTTGGTTTTCCAAGCCATATGCTTTCCTATCCTGTGCTTTCCCTATTGCCAAGGGAGCATGGGAACTTGGCAAAGCAAGTAGCTCAGTGATGGATAGACCCTGGCTTTGCTTTATCAGAATAGGCTGGAGCCAGTTAGCAGCTCAACCATGGTACTTATGGGGAAGAGCACTGGAAACTTTCAGACCTACATTCTGACTCTCAGTCTGTCCCTGTCTCACTATATGAACATGAGCACATCACTTCATTTCCCTGGGCCTTAACCTGCTCCTTATATATTGGAGATCTGAAATAATGCAATTTGTCATTCAGAGACAAAATACAATCTTTTTCCAAAATTTCCATAACTACCACAGGACCCTACCACCCTCTTCTTCCATGAATGTAGTCGCACAGCCCAAACTTAAGTGACACTTAGGCAGAATTGGTGACTATTACAGATGCTGCATTAAAAGCTGATAGGTGCTCCCAGGAAGCTGGGAGGGTGGTGGGAGACGTGCATATAAACAACCAATTATGACAGAACTGGGTGAATGCTAATAATAGCAGCATGAATAGAGAGAGCATTAAAAAGAATGAGGTGGGGATATGGTGTGAGACAGTATAAAGTTATCAACAAAAGAGGTAATGTTGAAACTGGGTCTTGAAGTACAAGTAAGAATTTGCAAAACTGAAAAGGGGAAGCTAGATACTCTAGGCAAATGACAGTTGCAAGAACTATGATCCTCTCCCCACAGGTAAATGTGCTAGAAAATGGTAGTTGGAGAATAATCCCTTTGAAGCTAATGACCCATGATATTAAATGCCGGCTTTCTTACCAAGTTATGAGATAATATGGTTGGGAGAATACTCAAAGATCTGATGCTTTGCTACTACCAACCTATGCACGAGGCTTTGGGAAGGACTCACACTATCTAAATGTATGTGGCACAGGTCACTGGGAAAATGAATTCGTGGCTTTAGAGAATACAAGACAGCTTCTTGTAACACAGCTCCAAAATACTCAGTGGTAGATGGGCTCTTTACCCAGAGCAAACAGAACAGTGGAAAGCCTCTCCTTCCGCACAGCATTGTGTTGGTGGAGGTGGGCTTCCCAGGGCCTGGCAAGTAGATGCTTACCAGTTAAAATTGTCTTGGCACTGTAACTTCCAAAGTACTTCTCATCAGTGCTGGGTGTGTGGCACTCATAGTTGCCAGCATCCCCCATCTGGAGCTTTGAGATGTGCAGCAGGACTGAGTCGCCCCGTAGCCTCTCTATGTAGATATCCTTGCTTTGCACCCGGGATGCATACACCGTGTAAGAGAAGTGGGCGTCCTTGGTGCTGATGATCTGGATTTCCTTTTCTGGGTCTGTTGACAGGTAAACAGACCACTGGAAATCCTGCGTAGAAGGTCCCTGATGGCCACTTACATTGCAGCCAATGCTGACGGGGTAACCTACGGCTCTGTACAGCGGTCCTTCTTGAACTCTTACTTCCCTCTGGCCAATGCTGAGCTTAGCTTGCAAGTAGGAAGAAAGGGGAATAAAAATAGATTAGTGCTCTCTCGTTCCCAGTGTGCCCCATCATGTAGTTCTCTATATAACAATTCTGGTAAATGAGATTGCGGGTTATTAGCAGTAATCAACACAAATCTTCACTGCCTTCTTCAGGCTGGGCTGCAGCAGGATGGCTCAGTGAGCTCCTTATTACTTTGCAACATAAGCTTGCATGGTTATCCTGTCTCCTTTTGAAAGCTTAGCTTCATATGTGTACCAAGGCCACATCAATAATATCTAAGTGGACTTACTCTAATGCTAGTTCAATCCCTGATAATTTACCTTTTACAGTATTTTATGGGAAAACAGCATAAACTCAAACCTCAAATTCCAATACACATGCTATTCCCACAGAAGTGGTTGCCAGAGGAGCAAAGTCCGAGGCTCTTCCCAAAATGCCTTCTGGTTAGTTGAAAGTATTTGTAGCTCTGGGCCGGGTCTGATGCAAGATTAGCTAAAATTAGCACCTAAAGAGGCAGCAACACTTTTTTTCTCTTCTGTGAAGGGTGTTTTGGTGGCTGTTTGCTTTGGATTGGATTTGTTTTGGCTTTTTTGTTTGTTTGCTTTTCTAATTTCTTAGAAAGACACTTTCACTTTACTGAAGAACTCCCAAACAGATAATTTATGAAGCCTAGCAGGTTTAAGGACCAGAATTTATTTTAATTCCTTTCTTACCAATGGCTTTTACTAGGACCACAATCAAATGTTTGTTAATTGAAACATATCTCGAATATTAGGTCTAAAGGCCTATGATTAAATAGTAACATTCCAGTAGAAAAATGTCTTAAAGCCAGCATTTTTCAGAAGCCACAAAGTACGCATTCATTATGACTAATGTTGAAAGCTAGCTTATTTTGTGTTTCCGAAAGAATAGAGCCTGATGACAAAGATGCTACAGGCTGAGCTAGATCTTCCACTAGGGTCCAGGGCCTCTTGGAGGGTAAGACAGGGTTGACTATCAGAAGGGCCCAGGGGGAGCGATGCCTGGCATCGTGGAGTTGACAGAAGAGAATCCAGAGGAGCAGAGCAGAGGTGTAAAGAGTCAATGGGATTAGTGTGGGGAGAAAGGAAAGAACGGAAATGACATTCCAGAGAGCAGGAGAAGGCTGAGCTAGGCATTCTGAGCAAAGCAAAAACAATCTAAAGGGATAATCAACTCAAAACTTCAAAGTTACAAGTGTATATGCTCAACCGAAAACTGGCAAAGAAAATAATATCTAAGCACACACATTTCTGGGAATAATTCGAAGATACGTTAAAGTATTCATAAATCTCAGTTCATATAATATATGTATATCACCCTTTTTTGTAAAAATATATAGAAATAAGAATTAGACTACCTTATAGAAATTTAAATTATTACATTCCAGAAAGTTAGTATAGAGGTTGTTTAAAACATTTTTAAAAAGTGCTAGTTCACAAAAAATAGTGTTCTAGAGAAAAAAATTGCAGCAATGTTGTTACAGTAGCAAAAAAAAACAAAACAAAAAAAAAACGCTCCTGAAAACTGGTCAAGACTGGTCAAGAGACTCAAATCTCTGGCCTGAGAGAAGACCCAGCTTTCCAGTTTTGCTGGTCAATCACCTGGTCACAGAACCACCCTAGGAAGGTGGGTTCACCTTAAGTCATGCTGAAGAGATGGGTGGAAGGCCTAGTGCCTTTAATGAGATGGTGAACTTTTCCTGGACTGCCTGGACTCCCACCTCCTCGTCCAAGTGCAGCACTCTTGGACCAGGCCACACACATGTTCTGTACGTCTGCCTGCTTTTTTGAAGAATCAGAAAAGCATAGCTTCTCCATTTTATTCTTTACATCTCTTTCTAAACATTTCTAATCTTGCTTTCCCTAATGCCCTGGGCTAGCCTAGGATCTTGGATTTCTTTACTGTTTTTCTAAAGCTCCCTTCCTCTCCCCACCATGTGGCTGCTAAGTCTGCCACATGTCTGACCTCCATGCCGGCTCCAACCAGCATGGCTTTGACGGCTGTTTTCCTTCTCTCCTCCACTCTCCTTCTCAGGACAGCTGCTGAGATTCACAGCTTGCCTACTCGGGGGATTTTGTTCTTTAAATTCTAATAAAATTGTTCTAAAGCTTCCATTTGGGTCCATTCTTAAATTCTTTTATGAATGAGAGCAGGAACCCTAAAAGGGACCCCATTTTCCCCTGTATTAATGCCTTTGGACACATGTGGGCATTGTGCATCAGGATAAAGGAACATTTATGGCCACATGGTTCACTGTCACCCCACACAAGGGCTAGTCCATGTGTCCATTAACAGTAGAAAAGATATTCTGGGGTGTCCCATAGAATGGAATATTATAAAGAAATTAAAACTAATAAATTATAAATGTTTGCGATAATATAATTATAATTACAAATTGTAAATAATTAAATTATAAATAAATTATAAATAATATAATTACCTTCAATCAAAGATGCAAGATACTTTTGAATCTCTTTGGTTATAGACAGAGTCTCTTCATAAAGTTCAAAGATAGGCAAAGCCATATTGTGTTGTTTAGTGATGCATAAGGGTTAAGATCACCTTTTTTCTTTTTTAAGTGAGGAAGTATTTATCATGAGAATCAAGAAAGTGATTGTGTGTGGGAGGGACTGTTTCCAGATGGTGTACAGGATGGTGGACACTTCTAGGATATTGACTGTCTTACTTCTTGACTTGGCTAGTGATTACAGAGATTTTTACTTTCTACTTATTTATCAAACTGCATATTTATTTTATACTAACCTTTTCTTGCATGCTAAGTTTCACTATGAAACTGTTTTTCAGAACTAGGGAGATGGCTGAGTCAGCAAAATACTTTCTGTGTAAGCATGAGGACCTGCGTTTGATCTCACGTACCCAGGTAAAAGGCGGGAACAGTGGTGCATCTGTAATCCCAGAGCTGGGGAGGGCAAGACAGGAGGATTTCTGGGGCTTGCAGGCCAGCCAATCTAGCCGAATCAGTTAGTTCCAGGTTTAGTGACAAATCTCCATCTCAAGCGATAAGGCAGAGAAGGTTGAGAAAGGCAGGGGACATTGACCCCTCTTCTCTACACATACACACACACACACACAGACACACACACATACACACACACAACTTAGTTTTTGAGGTACCACTACTCTGTTTATATCAGATGTTATAGTATTATGGGCTGCTGGGCAATGCTTCTTCAACATTTTCCATCTTGTTTCAGTGAAATAAGTATCATGTTTGAAATTTTTTATTGTGAAAACTAGCACTTCATTTTCTTCTGCTTTATTTTCCAGTTCAATAAATATTTACTCAGACACATATGTTACTTCTGACACTTGAAAGACTAAGTTACAAAGATGAGTTTGGAATGATCTCTGACCTTGAGCTTTTATACTCAGGCCAGTTAACAGCAGTAATCATCTCTATGAGAAAGATAAATAAAAGCACATGGAGGAACCTGTAGAAAGCAGTGATTTTACCGCTAGGGGAAGGAAACAGGTAAGGCTTGTGGAGGCGATGGCCCCAGGAATGGACTTTGGAGGGTTGGGAAGATTGCAAGCCAAAGAGGGAGACAGAGCCTTTTAGGTGAAAGAGACTTTATGAAAAGATGACATGTGTGGGAATCAAAAGACCTCTTCAGAAATTGGGAGTAACCGACCAGTGGGAAGGGGGTACATGACGATTAATAGGATGGAGTGGGATCGGCTTGGAGCCTGCAGAACTTGACCATCATGGTTAACAGCTTGGATGGAGATTATTAATTAGGCAATAGGGGATCCAGTGAGAGTGTCGGAGAGATCTTAGGAAAGTTGACACGATGGTTACGTGGAGAATGAGGGAAAAATAGACATCAGGTAATTATAATAGCCCAGGACAGAGGTGATGAAAATTCAGGGATGGAAATAAAGGACCATAACTTACGTGTCATTGTGGACAGGAAATCTGAAGTTTTAGTGTTTTGGAAGCTTGGAGATAGTAGGGACAAATACAGGGACAAGAGATTGGAAGAAATCAGATACCCAAATCTGGTAAAGTTGGCTGGGAGAATAATGGTACTCAACAACAACAAAAAGGATATCAGCAAGAATTACTATTTTTGTTATGTATT